AACAGGAACAATCTCAAACACAGTGGACATCAAACTGATAATTAGTTCACAATCAAAACAAATCAATAAATATGACATTACAACATTATATACTTTTAAAACGCGCAGCCCGATCGATTCAGGCACCTTTGAAGCATTGAGTCTACCTGCGGATCCGAAGCTATACGTTAGTAAAGTGGGACAAACGTTTGTACAGTCAAGGGCGTGCATTGCCTATTTCGGAAAAAAGGGAGATGACGACATAATTTGACCTCGTCCTATTTATTTTTAAAGAATGAAAAGAATTCCTGTTTATAAAACAACAACAAAACAACGGCGAGCTGAATAGCATCTCAGATCGTTAACTCCCGAGACAAGGTAAAGAAAAAGGAAACAACAGCAGAAATACAGCTAATGTCTTAATTTAAAAAATCGCATGGACAATACAGGAATTTGGTTACACATTTTTCTTATTGATAAACTATTTCTACTTGATTCAATGGCGTTATCTGTGCGTTGAGGCGGAATAGGGATATTTTGAACACTTTCTGTTATTATGATAATTAAAGTCAGTTAAATTGTCTGTTAATTTCTTACACTTTTCATTTTATCTGTACACACATCTTCAGAGAAGGTTTCACTAGCACAAATGACCTGAAAGGAAGTAAAAGACAGTAATATTTGTCAAACGTTTTAAATTAAATTGTTAAAATACCCATAACAAGTGGTATCAGTTACCTTACTCTGATGATTATCAACGTACACAGGTGATAGCAAAACAAGCCAAGAACGAACATACAATAACTGTGATCAATTAATTTGACAAAGACATTCGTTATGACAATTACCTGTCAAGATGTTGAGGAAATACCCCGTTATACCATTACCGACACAACAATAACCTGTTTTCCAGGGTATGGGAACCATTCACCAAAGTTATAAACTTATACGTAAAATGGTTTTCCTTTTTGTTATTTACCAAAACAATATCATAAATACATATGTACGTCATCGAAAACCAATAATTCAGTTATGTGATTTTCACATAATTTAATAAAGGGGTTTAAGTAGTTTTTGCCTAATCCTTTTAGTTGTTGTTCATCAATGAAAGAATGAATTATTTTTCAGTCGTTGAAAGCATTCATTAAACATTTTAAGCTAAGTCTATTTGTGCCTTTTTTCTTGCTATCCATTTTTAGACAATTGTACATATGAATGTCAGAAGACAAATGACGAAATACAGCGAGGCTTTTGGGAAGTTTGTACTGATCCATCTAATGTTGGAGATATATGTGGAAACCTGCGTCTATCTTAAGTCCAGGTATGGCAAGCCAACTTGAAATTTCATACCTAAAAGATATATCTTGTTTATTTTAGGAGATATATCATAAACGAACCGAGATAACTATACTATTTTGGATTCATTTCAAGGTGTATCTATTTGAATTAGAAACATCGCCATTTCTATTAGAGATTTCTCTGTTTCATTTAAAGATGCAATAATTCTTTAGAAATTATATTTGTTTTACATACCAAGGGGTCTCTTGTAAGCTTACAAGTATTGATCCGAAGGTCATCCTTATCATGCAGGAGTCGACGTCAAAAATATTAGTCTATTCCCGTTCATAATTCACGTAACAGCGTTTAGTCGCGGTTAACAATAAGCTACATAGCCAGGGATTTCTATCAGTGAGGCTGAACTCGACGTAACAGCGTATAGTCGCGGTTAACAATAAGCTACATAGCCAGGGATTTCTATCAGTGAGGCTTGACTCGACGTAACAGCGTATAGTGGCTGTTAACAATAAGCTACATAGCCAGGGATTTCTATCAGTGAGGCTGAACTCGACGTAACAGCGTATAGTCGCGGTTAACAATAAGCTACATAGCCAGGGATTCTTATCAGTGAGGCTGGACTCGACGTAACAGCGTATAGTCGCGGTTAACAATAAGCTACATAGCCAGGGATTTCTATCAGTGAGGCTGGCCTCTACGTAACAGCGTATAGTCGCGGTTAACAATAAGCTACATAGCCAGGGATTTCTATCAGTGAGGCTTGACTCTACGTAAAAGCGTATAGTGGCGGTTAACAATAAGCTACATAGCCAGGGAGTTCTATCAGTGAGGCTTGACTCTACGTTGTGAACATGTTGTGTACGTCACAACGACACAGTGGCGGATCCAGAGTTTTTTTGGGGGCTTCAAGAACCCCCCACCCTGATAAATCCTGTATTTTCCTTAATTTCCCCCTCACATGGAAATTAATTAAACCCCCTGGAAATCTGCCCCCNCCCCCCCGATAGGTCTCTGGATCCGCCACTGCTCCATCGTTGTTCTCTCTTGCTTATTCTTTCCTTTCTCTCCCTATTCCTCCTGATCATCGGTGTCTCATCCCTCGACTCCCGCCTTCGTATGACCTTGACCCTCTAAGATCGTTGGGGTTTCACCTGTAGGCCGTTTTTCCTGAATTTTATGTGTGGCATCGTTATGACACGCGATGCGTAAATCCGGTGTTTTGTTTGGTGCGCGATGGTCTTCCTTTTGTTGGTGTATATCGGCATCAAGTTTGTGTTTTGTTCTGATGTGATGACGCTATATTACATAATTATTCCTGTTTTATGACAAACTATTTACATTATTTTATATTTATGTTATAGTTTGTAGTTTTGGCTATCATGCGTGTGTGGTGGCAGCTACTGGGTTATTCAATTTTTCATATAATTTTCCATATATTATTGATTTTATGCTAAGAGCTCTAGTGTGGCTCTATTGATAATGATAAATTCAATGTCACAAATCGGGTGGCCATTTTCATTCATATTGTTGTCCGAGTTTTGCTTGTGATGAGTGCAGGGACATAAATACTATTAACATATAAAGACTGACCGACCGTCACCATTACTGACCGGCTGGTGTGGATCGTGAAGCGTTCTTAATGCTGGGCCCAATGTTGCAGATATAAGGAGTAAACGTACAATTTTGACTCTGTACTTCAATCATTTTTATTATTATTAAGGGAAATCAGGACGTGTTACCATTAAATTTGTATAGAAACCATTATTGACTCGACTAGGCACTTAGGGACAGACTACGAGTACTTTCCATTCCCACAAGTCACGTTTTACTTGAGAGACTTTATGTCTTTTTTATGTTGACGTTGTGGTATTTTATTTTCGATTTCACTAAAGAATAAAAGTACATGACGACCTCGTTTGAAATTCTTGTCCAGGACAGCCCATTGTGAGACAAAGAGATCGTCAACAATAACACACTCGGCAATTAAAGAACCTAGAGAGGTAAGAGGCAGTCACACCAATTAAATACGTAAAGTGTTAAATATGGATCAGCAGATAGGAGCACCAGTCACACCAATTAAATACGTAAAGTGTTAAATATGGATAGGAGCACGGTCACCTTACACATTAAAGCATTTCTGTATAATGAGGATTACCTTGTTCAGCAAAGGAAGAATAAATAGGGATGGAGCCTAAACAGACCGCCGTGTTTGTTTAAAACGCGATGTCCGCCGTCGTGGGTAATTGGTAACACTAATTGTCATTACGTAGCATAGAACAAGACACTGTTCAACTTGGTTTTAATAGAAACCTGTTTGTTCTAGGTTGAATAAACGCAGACACTATGACTTCGTATATCAGGTGTAAAACGCGATGCTAATTATGATAAGGTAGCATTAAGCGCAACAATCTAAATGATTACGTCAAAACTTCTATATTTGATATTTATTTCAGATTTGAGCTCCATTATTTAAAAGATCATTACTTTTTTACAATATCATAATTATAGCTCTGTTTCTATTTATGACTTCATTGTCTCTTTTTAATTCACACTATATTAGTGTATATCCTGTACATTTTTACACTTTGCTACATCAGCATATATGTACTTAACACTAGTATATAGTGTCTTAACTTGTCTTTTGTAACACTTGTGTGATCTCATATGCTCTACTGTATAGTTTTAGCATATCTAATTTGAATTGTTGTCCTGTTTTTATATTTATATATATTCATAAGTACCGTGATCCTTGTTAAATCTTATATATGTTTTGTGGCAAGAATAGCACTACAGTGCTAATGCTATTGTTACATGTATATGCGATAAAAGTAATTCTAGAAATTCTTGTTAACCAACGACACACTATCATCTGGATTTTATATTGAAGGATCGGGCAAGTGTCTCATCTCCTTTCTTAAAAGAAAAAAGAATCCATAAACAGACCAGCTAGAAATGGCCTAGTATGGAACACCAATTGAACTATCCTATCCTTCCACGTTTCCGACCAAACAAAAGGTTGGACAATGTGTATATCACCTGTGTGCAGTTGTGTTGTAGTAATCTGTAACTCATTCCTACCTTTTATTGCAAAGAACAAGCAAGTTTGCTGAATAATAGCTTCATTATGTCGTCTTTGCGTATTGCAGAGTTATCTTCTCTTGGGAGCAGGTATTGATTGTTACGTCATTGGTCTGTGTGATAAAATTACGTTGTTTTCTCAAAAATTAATGACGTTATTCTCACAAACAAGTGACGTAACAGTCAATACCTGCTCCCAAGAGAAGATAACTCTGCAATATGCAAAGACGGAATTAAGCTGTGTCTAACAAAGTTGTTATACAGGGGCTAAGGGAAGCAACTCCATTTTATATGCAGTCAATCCAGAGTGTGACTGTCCAAATTTTTATTTACTACACTCCAATGCCTCTAGGAACATTAAATATGTTTTTCTGGTCAATCGGTCAGATATACAGAACCAGCTACATGATATCTGGTCAATCGGACATAGACAGAACCAGCTACATGATATCTGGTCAATCGGCCAGATAGACAGAACCAGCTACATGATATCTCCCATCTTTAATTAAGGTGACGATAGCTAATTCCAATGTTCTGTACTTCTGAATCACAAAAATCAACGGGCATGCCGACTTCTATGGTAAACAAGCAGTGGATCAGTTTAGTCTCACAGACACAACGACTCAGAGACAACAGAAAAACACAAGAAATCTTGAAAAATATTTATAAAACTTCAATTAGAATGAACATGTTGACACATCTACCAGTATCATAGATTTTGGTATAAAACAACTTGATTGCAATGAATATATGCAAATCATCTTGCATATATATATATATATATTTATCTCTCTCTCAACCAGCACTACTAAGTGTTTGTATCAATAGAACCAAGAGCACAGCCTCGCGGAGCATTATAGAATATCAATTTATTGGTGAAAGGAAAATGACTATTGTAACTAAAGCTAAGTTAGTTCCATTAACTGTAAGTTTCAACAATAGATCTTTCAAAGGGAATTTCAGCAATTACTATTTTTTCTGCTAGTGCAAAGTGGTGGAGTTATCCAGGAACCATCCTGATGCATTTGTGAAACTTCGGAAACGTTACAAGAAATTCTCATAGAAATTGAATGTATCTTGTGCATGTTGAAATGGGGAAACATATCTTCATTCACTAGCCAGAAATAATACAATGTTATCTGGTGTTTCTTGTTATAATTTTACATTTTTTGGAAGGATCGTCTCCCATTGCCAAACTATTTTCAACTAGCATTCTAAGGTTCATAGATGCTGGAAGAATAAGAAACAGCCATCAAGTTTCCATCAAAAAGTCTTACACAGTGTTCGTATTTTATAATATATGTACACTAGTACTGTAGACTGGAAATTTTTGCCCTGCCAAACTTTTGTCCCTTCAATAATAACTAAATTAGCTGCAGTCGCAAAGTTATGTAAAATGATAGACTGTGTCAAAAAGAAAATGGAGTACATAATTCACTTCAATGTCTCAGATAAATGAGGTAACATGAATGATATATCACATTTCACATATCAACTATTACAATGAATAAGAAAATCAATCTTCAACATGAACAATTCAATAGAATCATCTTATACATGTACAGCTAAACCTGTTTAAGCAAGCCAAAATTGGGACCAGAATATATGTCAGAAAGATACGAAATTGAAAACTGAACAATGCTTTTCACAAATCTACTTGGTGACACTAAAACTCAGTGGATAAAAGGGATCTTGGAATAATTTTCATGCTTTAACTGTGAAGTAAATTATATAAATGGATTTTAAAACAGTTTCCATTTTGTATGAAGTCTGTGAAATTAGTCTTGAAATTTAAAATTTACCAATACCTTCGCTCCATGCTTGATCATAAACAGTGACTTAGATATGCTGAGGAAACTTGAATGTATTTCAAGAATTGTGGTCAAGAAACCATTATTTTAGAATTTTCAGTCAAGATCATAGGTCATATTGAGCTTGGAGTGACCTGGTTTTAGGATGGAAAACACCAAGTCTTATGCCAATTCGTGAAACAGTGGATTAGAAATGTCCCTGAATCACATTCAGCATGGATGGGCAAAGCCAATATTATATACCCCAGACTTTGTTGTAGAGGGGGTATAACAACTCACTTCAAATACTTGGGATCCCAGGTTGATGTTTGGCCAATATAGGTATCAAGGTATTTCAGTGACTGGTTTATACAGGTTAATTAAATGGTTACTTTGGACAGGTAATTCTGCTTCATTGAATCAGGTTTCTCCAAAACTAGCTTATATCAACTTAAATGGTTACTGATAATATCACAAGTGTTTTTGCATTAAAACATAGAACTGGCTCACAAAATCATTTGTATATCGAATATCTTTTTTTGTGTGTCCAGTAATGAAAACAATTGTCAAAAGTATTCATACCAAAATTAGCCAAGGCTGCAACTACACATTAAAGGTAAAGTTCAGTAACTCTTAAAATGTACTGTTATAAAAATTATAGTACTACTTGTACAAAGAGGACATAACTTACATTTACTTTGGAGAAATGTAAAGAAAATTTTCCCATACAGAAGAAATAAGCACCCAGAAAAGATTTCATATAAAAAGATCAAATAATTATCATTTCAAAAGTCAAGAAATCCCGGAGGGATACTGGCACCAACCAGCACAGGAGATGGAGTCGTTTCTAAGGGAAATAACTCCTCTTTGTGTCTCACACTTTTGGTCCAAGGTAGATAACTCTTCTGAATGTCAGTTACTAACCTGGCAAAAGTCCTATAATCTGTGAATTATGAGGGCCTGCTTCATACAGGGAATATAGTCACAGCATTTTTTTAATAACAATAAATTGTTTTTAACACATTCAACCACTATCTGTTGAAACTCTTTAATAAAGTAACATAATATTTTTTATAAACAAACATTGCACTACCTCACCGAACTCCTCTAACAGAACTCTTACAACTTCATCCAACTCAAGCTTTTCAATCTGGTATCCTTTGTGATTTGATAACCTCCAAGCTTTATCTGTCATTGTATGTCCATACTGTGTGTGGTCACATGACCATCACATGGTATGTCACATGTCCACTGTGTGACCTTCATCATAGGTCAGTCATGCGACTCATTTCCAGTTCTTTCTATGCCCGATTGGTCCTGACTTTTTGCGATACACCAGTATCCTGGTTGCCTTGAGTAAGGTGATCATGAGGAAAGAATCCTGTCTGAATCCAATCTCATCATTTGGAGTTGATGGATAAAGCACCCATATTCTGCTGCATTGCTGTATAAGAAATATGAGAAAGAAGTAAAACTTGCCCAATTCTAAAATCTATCTCAGATTTCATTTTATTTATAGACAGTCCAATTATCATTCAGAAGTAAACTGTGAACCATTTTATTCCCGATACTAGATATTATTCTTAATTTTCCCCCCTGCTTCCCAAATAATGGTCACTAGTCAGGGTAGGCATGAAGGACACCAGTTAATACTAGTGCTGGGCAATCGGTTTGAAATCATAATTGGTTTGTAATCGGAAGTAGTTAAACGATTGATGATTGACTGCATATTAAATCAGTTCCTACTTTTATGAGACTGAATACCCTAATAAAGTGAAAACACTACCACAACATCATTAGACAGAGTTGTAAACTATACATTAGTTTTTTCTTTCTTTTTTCAAGCAATTATTTATGCAGTTTTATCAAAAGTATGAAACACTTTGATTTATATCGTGATAAGAAAGGGCAAACCGATTAATTTTCGATTGTAATCAATCATCAGCCCATCCCTAGTAAATACATAGGAAAGTTGACTGGAGGAATTCAGACAGGTGCTAGCTTGGTGTATAGAGCTGACTACTGATTCAGCTATTGTTTATTCTTAAATGCAAACAATATATTAAAATAATTCAATGAGAACATGCATGTTTTTATTGTTATTATGTAAACCAAGATTTGAGTTCAGAATTAATATTTTAAAGAGGTTGTCAATGTTAAATCTTTTATCCTTCAAACAATGTGATGTGGATTGAATTGCAAGACATGTTAGACTTAACACAAAATTGTCTAGCTCAAAAAGAATCACAATGAAACTTTTTAATACAGATTTGAAGACGCAAAAGCACTTTTAGAATTATACATTTTGTATCGCTAAATTAACCGATCATGCCAGATGTGGATAGGATTTCATACAAATGTTAACAGAAATCTTGCGATCACATTCACACAACGATGTTGGGACAAGATTTGGTGATAGTTTCTAAGATTCAAACAGAATTATTGAGATTCATTTTGTATTACTGGACTTACCAACCATACCAAATGTGAATAGGATTACACACAATTGTTCATAGAAACCTTAAGATACAATTATACAGCACTGTTGCCACAGGACTTTATGATAATTTCTAGGATTCAGTCATTACTATTCATTTTATATCTCTGGACTTACCAATCATGCCCGGAGGTGCGTAGCCCCGGCCTTTCGGTACGTTGTTGACAGTATATCCTAGGATACCTCTTCCTTGTCTACGCATCATATCTATAAAAGGAAAAACATGTCTAGAGTGCTGGCAGATAATTCCGGAACATGTGGAAATCCCACCATACATGTTTTTAACAGCGATTTTTGTTAAGAGTTGCCTCCCTTGAAATGTTTGTAATAAACTGGCTCCCTTTGGCATATTCGGTTCAACCAAATCGTCTGTTTTTAAATGTATCATTTTGGGTTAATCCTGGAGGACCTGCAAATGTTTATGCAGGCCTTACATGGCTTTGTCAAGGCTCGCCTGAAAGCAGCATCAGATTACTAGGTCCGACCTTATTTCATATACAAACAGCTCTGATCCAACCGATTCAATTATTTGGATTGCTATAAATGAATGCAGCCCTAGAAACAATGGTTGACAGGCTGACACATGATACACCTCTGTGTTACACTTATTGGGAGTGTAGCTCACACAATATGATCAAAAGGTAAAATGTACATCATAAAGGCTACCATGGTCATGTTTGTATTAAACATTTAAAAAAGTTTTCAGAATTTTACCATGCAAATGTGAACATAAAATCAAAATTATCCAGCCGCTGTCAATAATCATACACTTATATTAACTCATTCATCCCTAAAAACACATCTGAACTCTTCCAATTCAAAGGTCGGAATAGTTCATTATGAAATTTCAGAGGTGAATGAGTAAAACCAGGGGACAGATAACAGTTCCAAAAATATGAATCGATTCCCTTTTGAACAACGTGAAATTGAAATATCAAAAGCATGATTACTAAGAACACAACTTACCAACTATGCTGTCTCCCGATTCTCCACCATTAGGTAGAGCAGGCCGGTAACCATCTGTCTGTAATCGTGGTGCGGGTGTCGCCTCTGGTGGGGATGAATCATTAATGGCAGAAAAACCTGGTGGGGGTCCCTGTGAGGCTTGTGGTGTCCTGTTCATGGCACTGGCACCACTCTGTATGAACATCAATACAAAGTACGAACATAAATACAAGTAGGTAAGTAATGGAGTGTCAACACCAAGCATTCTGTAAAGGTAGGGTTTAATAGGTTTACATGTTTACAGGCCAACCATCATCAGAACCATTTTACAGTATCATTAACAGGATGTTGGATCTCTACCTTATAATTGTGTTGTATGAACATAATAAGATCATAGGAAATTTCATCACAAAATATAGCAAGATTTGTTTTCTCCTAAAAGCAAATTTCATCATTCACAATACCATAGCTTTCATCTTTTGAAATAGACGAGTCAAAGTGTGGTGAACAATCCAAGTGCCCCAAACTCTGTTATCAACTACAAAATGCCTGTAAGTAACGTAGGCCTGGACCTTGAAGTACAGACTTGTTCGAGGTATTCTCATACTTAACCTTTACATCAAATTTGGTCAAAATTTGTTGCGCGTGAATTCACTAGTGATGAAACTGAATTGGGATTTGAAAAGATGGACAAGTGGAACACAATTCTACCCACACCCCAAAATCATGGGGACATGGAAACGAAGTTCTATTACTCTCGATGAAGTGGGGGACAAGCCCCAATTTCAGTGTCTGACACTCAACAAAATCAATAGGTACTTGCATACAAACATTTGCAATAATCGGCAACAGAGTATGAAACTAACAGTATGATACACTGAGGACTAACACACTTACTGATAGTGCAAATCTACCGTTCCCTCTGATTGTACTGGGAAGGGTCTAATAAAGAAATATTTTTTCCCTCTCATTGTACTGGGAAGGGACTAATTAAGAAATATTTTTTCCCTCTCATTGTACTGGGAAGGGACTAATAAAGAAATATTTTTTCAAAACAGCAAACACTTTCAAGAATGTGATGAAAACAATTCAAAAGTAACTAGAACACTGCCAGGTCAGCAAGGCCCCCGTCATGTGCCTGAGCCTCCCCTCCATCCCCCCAGTTTATTTTTAGTAACAGCAATCTTGACTTGAAAACTTTCGAAACTCTAATTGCACATTTACATATCACATTGTTTCATCATGTCAAATTTCTAAAAAGATTAAGAGTTTTCGATTATGAAATTAGGACTGTTAACCCCACAGTGAGTCTATTTATGGTAACATTGTGACCTTGACCTTAGACAATTTTTAAACCCTTATTGCAAAACTACATGTCACACAATATCACTATGTAAGATTTTAAAAAGATTTTAGTTTTGGATTCCTAGCTTAGAACTGTACCCCTCACAATATATTTTTAGCAACAGTGACCTTGCTTTGACCTTTGAAAATTGTTTTAAACCCCTATTGCATACCATCATATTACTGTGTATCACCATGTCTAATATCAGAAAGATGAGTCTTCCAGTTTCCTAGATAACCTCCAGGATCGAAAGTGTGGACGGAAGGACACGCAGACCATCACCGTGATTATAAGGACACCTACATTTCTGATGAGCGTCCCTAAATATTAACGTATAGAATGCGACACATAAAGTATCTTACATGAGTTTCCAATTAATATGAGATTTATGAAACGAGTCTAAGAATTTTTAATATAGTGAGCCTGTGGCAAGCTAAAATGATTTTTTTTTGACGAGTTTCATAAATTTCATATGAAATAAAAACGAGTGTAAGATTCTTTTTATCACATAATCAAGATTTATGGCATTTATACGTGTAAAACAACAATTTTTATGCAACCTTGAAATGTAAAAGGCAGCCATTTTGACCCCAGTGTGTAAGTTTGTGACGTTATGTTCTTGTCCTAGGTGTAATGTCACAATTGAAACAATTGAAACTTACAACCAATCACAGGGCTGATAGCACTTTTGGTAAGGAAACGCTGCATGAAGTTTGAGTGTGATCAGCCCAAGGAAACTCAAGTTATCGCACGAAAACCTCGGTGCGGACGCCGCCGCCGCCTCGGCCGACATAGCAATACCTATGTGTCAACAGCTTTTCGCAGGTGACACAAAAAGGATAACGAACAACTTGCTGTTTGTATTAGTCCTTAACAAGTTGGTGCCTATATTCACTTAGGATTTGGATTTGAATAACAGTTTCTTGCACGGGTAACATGGAAAATACCTGTGATGGTGGGGTAACATCAGAGATGGCAGCGTGCCAAGAAGAAGGTGGGGGCGGGGCAATCTGAGGACCAGGCGCTCCCTGACGACCGGCAAACTTTTTAGGAATTTCATTATCTACAAGTGGAAGCATTAAAACAATTACTTTGACAAACATATTGGTAGCAACCTATCTCTGAATGTTATCTTTTGATTTGAGACTTTGAAATTCATTTAATTTTTAAATTGATCTCAAAATGACCCAAGCCAGACTTACCTGGTAAGTAAAATTTACCCAATGGACCCACTACCTTATCTGTCAGACCCAATGGACCCACTACCTTATCTGTCAGGAAGTGCCATAGACAAGGAAGCTTACATTAACTGCATTTTTTCCTTAAATATGGACAAAACAAGTGGCCTAATGTTGCTTTCTTGTGCACCTCAAACGTTTAAGGCTGCATTAACATTTTTCAGGTTCGTTAGCCTTTATCCCAGAAATTTTAAAAGAAGGCAAAGAGATTTTCTGCATAAACAAACAGGCCTAAATCTTCAAGGGCTATTATCCATCTATTAGTGCCTGAAGTTATATAACCATAGTTGAAACTAAACAATTCTTTTTTGATTTTGAAAACATCCATTAAGCATTTAGATTAATTTACCTGGTAAATTCTTAGGTACTCCTCGTCCTATACCAGCCATTGCTGTGTTCGTATTGCCTCGCCCCAGGGAAGGGAAGTCAACAGAGGCGGGCATGTATCCTCGCCCCATTGGCAGTCTTGGCCCAGTTTGTCCCAGGTTAGGGTAGTTCTGTGTAATCTGGCTTGGCGGGACCACAGGTCTGGCCATGGGAGCGCTGGCGGACCAAGCAGGCTGTGTAGGGGCAGTGGAATTATTGGCTGACCAAGCTGGCCGTACAGGGGCAGCTGCCATCCTTCCTGCTGACCCAGGGGCTGTAAATCAAAATTCACCAACAGTTTATCTTAACTCATTCACCCCTCAAGACACATTTGAACTCTTCCAATTCAAAAGTTGGAATAGTTCATCATGAAATTTTGCTCACCTCTTTCCATACCTTATCTAATCTAGTCAATAAGCTAATTGGATTGTTTGCTTAAACCCTAATGACCCAAGGAAAAGATACCCTGCATAAAGTTATTTTTTATTGAAGTTTCAAAAAATATTTCTTTTCTTTTATCTTAATAAATCCTGGCAATTAATTTTGTCAGCATAACTGCCAAGTGACCCAATTTCGTCGAGTTACACCTGGAATTTTAGCCCTTCACCCGTTTTAATAACTTCATACGCCGTGTTACGATTTTGACCCGGATTTCGTCAATTTCACCCTTTTTCGCCCGGAATCTTTTTGTATATTAGAAGTTATTGAAGTCACTCGGAATTCTCTAGACTTTTCCATGCTTTGTCATAAGGAAGACGATCTATATCCATTTCTCACTGAGCGTTAAGTTGTGAGTAATTAGTAAGATGTTTTAAATGAATAATTGAGTTATTTTTACAATTGTATCTATGTTGTATAGATCGCATTTTGAAGGTAACTTAATGTGTTCTTGAAGGAAGAAGTCGTTATCGGAACTTGCAGGTTCTACTACATAAATTCTAAAAGAAAAGATAATTGTGCACATATCAATTGAGTTATAGTAGATAAAGTTCGGCAATCGTGGACCAAACGCTGCATTCTGCACTCTTTTGAAAATCGCATATTTCAGTTGGATCTGGTGCTAAAAAGGATTTTACTACAACATTCAAAACACACACAGGCATTTGTTTCTGTCAATAAAAATGGTCCTGACAATAAGAATTCAAAACCTACTCTGACATATAAAACTGATATTTTCTTATTGTCAGGGCCATTTTTATTGACAGAAACAAAATGGTATTTTATATGAATAGAAAGTGACATCTTATTGTCAGGACCATTTTTATTGACATAAACAAATGCCTTTGAAAACACAGTATCATATATATTACTATGAATTAATTTTATGAGTTTTGTTAGTGACAAATCTTTTTATTTTTCAGCTTTGAATTTGGTATTGTGGATGAGGATCAGCTAGATCTGCTGGAAGAACAGTTCAATGAATGAAGAATATACCTTTTACATTATTGAAATATAGAAGTTCTAATTTAACATCTACTTTTCTTATATTTGTTTCGAAAAAAGATGTCACACGCTTTGTTTTGTCGTATTTCTGTTTAAAGCAAAACATAGGAGTTGTTTACGATAATGAGTATCATCAATACCGAAGAAAACAAGATGTACACCAAAACATGTTTTTAAAGTATCTATTAAAACAAGTACAAGAGAGACACTTCTAAAATAAAACAAATTAATTTTCCTATCTACCTACCCAGTCTTTAAATCCTGGGTTGGGTTCAGGCAAACACATGTTTTATTCATATTGGCCTTGGTTGGATCCTTTCCTGATAACTTTTGATCAGATAATTAACAAACACACTTGCAATAGCTATTTTGAATTTGACCTGATGAAAAATGACAGAAGCATTTGCATTAATTGTGATTGGATTTGTTGGTGGTTCTTAGGAAGTTTGAAATCTCTCAACATGATAATACATAATATGGAGTAAAATATGTTTCTCTCTTAAAGATTAGGATTAAAGTGTAATGTCTTACCTGGCATGTTGGGTCTTCTGAGTGACTGGTATCCAATATCATCGTCACTGTCATCTGTGTCGTCGTCATCATCTACTCCGTATGATGCTGCCTGTTGTACAGAAAAAAATCATCTGACACACGATCATGTTTGTATTAATAAACCTCTCTAGGTTGCTTTACGATACAAAGACATATAATTCATACAGTCAATTTCATTTCAACAAATTTTATTGTTTAGAAAACAAATGGATTGGACAACAGGCAAAGCCTATATAAGTCCTTTCCAATAGGTACCACATATATACAAGTCAAAGTGAATAAAGTAAATAATAGATATCATAGCCAGTAATATATATATATAAAGAGAACTAGATTTTAACATGAAAGCATTGATGGTAGTATTACACAATATTCAGAGAGTATAATGATTACTTCATATAGTCAATTATGGTGTAATCAATATAATTTTGAAGATTTTGCAGACTACAACTGGTCCTATGTCATCTTGCTAATACCTCCACATCTGCACATGCCTTGATGTGTGCTCGGTGTGAATTAGTGTTCTGCTTCACAGTAGGACTGTGTTTCTAACAGTATCCTAAAGTCTAGAATTCACACATGCTTTACCACTTATTACTATCGTTATTGAGTAGCCATTCTGTCCTACATTTCATCGAGAGATCAGTTTTAAGTTGATGTTTAAGAAACATAAAACACTGTAGTCTATGAGAATTTGGTGAGGTCTACAAAGTCTGAAAATTCCAATGACCTATTATCTACGGCAATTGATGATTTACTTTCAGACAATGTTGTCATATACTCTTGTTAACTAATAAAAAAATCATAATCTGTTGCAGCCAGCACTAACTGCATTGCATGGTCATTAAAAATAGATGAAAAATTCATTAAAAGTTTTCATAAATTTTGCATAAAAAGTGCATTAAATTAAGCATTAAAATATGGCATGATTAATGCCCATGAAATTCCCCTTAAATTGATGGCCTTGAAATTTAATAGTATTTTCAACTGCATTAAATACTTTTACATCAATACCTTTTTCCAAAATTAATGCTAATTTAATGACCATTAATGCCGGCATTTAATGATACAAATTTATTATCTGTTGCAGCCAGCTGATTGCTCGTAATTTAATAATACAAACCACTTTTTGTTTGCCTGGAGGCTGCTGACTACCAAACATTTGGGGTGTGCCGCCCCTCGTTTGTGGGGGTTTGTAGGATGCCCCTCCAGCCTGCCTGGGAGGAGGGGCATTCCCCTGTCTAGACTGGATCCTCATGGACGATGGGGGCAGCACTGTACATCCAGTGTTCACGTTGTTGCGGATTGGGATGTGGTTCTTTGTTAGGTTAACATCGTACTTCTGACATAAACTGTCGGAGATGGCAAATCTGCAACACAATCCATGCAGTTGTGTCTATTTTCATGCGATTTGATTCAAGATACTGATTCATTTTCCCAATATGTCACAATTCAATGATATAAACTATGTACCTTTTCAATGATACAAAGTATGTACCTTTTCAATGATATGAAGTATGTACCTTTTCAATGAGACAAGGTATGTATCTTTTCAATGATATATAGTATGTACCTTTTCAATGTTATAAAGTATGTACCTTTTCAATGATATAAAGTATATACCTTTTCAATGATATATAGTATGTACCTTTTCAATGAAACAAAGTATGTACCTTTTCAATGATATGAAGTATGTACCTTTTCAATGAGACAAGGTATGTATCTTTTCAATGATATATAGTATGTACCTTTTCAATGATACAAAGTATGTACCTTTCCAATGATATGAAGTATGTACCTTTTCAATGATACAAGGTATGTATCTTTTCAATGATATATAGTATGTACCTTTTCAATGATATGAAGTATGTACCTTTTCAATGATATAAAGTATGTACCATTTCAGCCTTACTTTCAGTGTAAAACTCGCTTTGATTGGACAGTCTCTACACTAACAACAAATCAGCAACAAGAAAACAATTTTCACAAAATATTTATGGATGGTCTATTATAATGCTCTAACAAACTCAAAAATGGAAATGTGAACATATTTTCAGTTTTGTGCAATCTATGTACCAAAAGAAAAGTTAATTAACCTTTAAAATGACAACAAGGAAATCAAAGACAAGAAACTTAGCACACACAGGGGCATGTGAGGAAATATTTGCCCAATTCAGTTTACACAAGGCATTGTGATCAAAGCTTAGTTGAAATAACACAAGTAATTAGTCCTAAGGCCTAACAAAAAAATATGTTTGTTTCTGGTTGCCTGACCGACCCTACTTTAACTGCATGACTCGAACAATTTTACGTCAAAAATCCGGAATTTCTGGATTTCAGTTTTCCGTTTTACATTTTAGACGCTTATAACAATCAGGGTCATTTAAGCGATACAGCAGATCAGTGTATTCAAGCTTTCTTTTGACACAGACTGTGTTTTAATACGGCTTCCCTACACACAGCAGTGCTTGCATTTAAGTTTAATAAATGTGATCACGCCGGTGAGAAACGTTTAATGGCGGCAGTACCTGCAACTAATAATTGAATGGCAGACGTTTTTGAAAAATACCACTCGGACACTTCACTGTTCTAGCGAGTACAGAGCCTGCATCTGAACAAACTTTTGAAGTCAGGAGCGGCCTTTCAGTGGACGTTATTAACTTTGGAGTAAAATATCTCACTTTCGAGTGCCACGGGATTGAAGAGGAGACGATTGGTGGGAGTGAAGAGGAGACGATTGGTGGGAGTGAAGAGGAGACGATTGGTGAACACTAGTGACTTAGTAGCATTTCCATTTTTTTGGTTTTTGTTAAAATATCTGCCCAAGCAATGGATTGGCTTGTGTTTGTTATTCATCGCTTCAAAAGAACTGTTTTGTTTTGTTGTAATAAATAATTACTGTTAATATTTCATTGTTCTGTATTTAACAAGTATCACTGGCAAATCTGTCTTGGGCACCTAGTTTTAATATCTTCTACAATGTAGTTTCATGGTTGATGTCAATATTATCTTTTTGTTTTGGTGTTCAATTTCATGGATAATCAAAATTAAAAAAAAATGTAAAAAAAAACCCACCAAACCCTATCCCTTACCCTAATTCTTTTCCAGCATGTAACAGGAAACAAACATACTTTCTTGTTAGGCCTAAGGTCTAGTAGAATAAAGTATAAATTTGCTAGTCCTTAGCCAATACAACTAGTCAGAGATATATTTCCTGAAGAAAACATCCTCAGCCCTAAAGAAATGTTGAAAAAAATGCAAAGAACTAAAATAACCTGAAATATAAATTTCAACTGATTTTAAATTCTAGCGTCATGTCTAGATGCTTTGCCTTTCACCATTAAAGACTTGCATTCCATGTTTCACAACTGTACTGACAATACTTACGCATATCGTTTCAGGATTCCTATTGAGCAGTATTTACATTCCAATTCTTCATGAAAAGCACACCTAAAATACACAAACAAACCATGAATTGACTCAAACAGAGTTATCTGCCCCTTATTTGCCCTACTGATAAATTCTGTCATTCAATTTCTCGGACTGTAATACACCACTGTTGTGTATTGAGCTTGTTCACTACACAGTTTAAATGTTAAATTGTTTTCAGGTAACTCTTCAATACTCTCTTAAATATAATGGATGCTATATTTATATAAATTTCTACATATCTTACTTTTAAGATTTACATATTTTTCATTACTTCAAATCAAATTATCTATAAATCATCATTTCACTAGGGTCACTTTTCAATTTTAAAAGAAGAATGGTCTTTAATAAGGAAATAATACTGTTGTGGTATAGCAATGGTTTGTCATTTTCAATACCTAGTGTTTTGTGATATAAAGCATTGGTTGGCAGGCAGCTGATAACAAGGCCATTTTTTTAATTTAATTTTTTTAGTTATATTAACATTGGAATAAACTTGCTGATTTTCCAGTTGATGCTGTCATGGTCATCTCTTCTCATTATTGATACAATATTTCTATGGCCGGACTAGTGAATTCTATTTAAAGAATCCATCCACTTGGATCTCCTCCCCCCACTCCCAAAGTAAATAATAAGAGTTGTTAGTTAGATATGTTTACATCAGAGAAACTTGCATTAAATGTCACGTGAAAAGATAAAAGAATAACAATTTGCATATACATGTATTAATGTTCCTGTTGTAGACAGTAGGTAGTGGTAGAAATAAGTGAAAAAAATTGTTTTGTTTTACTGGTGACGACTGAAAAGTGGATTTTCTTTTTAGAAATCATGCGTACATCATTAAACAAGATATGCATGGTTATTAAGTACAGTGTGTATTGAATCATTCATGAGATACAGAGTGGACAAGCATGCAAGTCTAACACCTGAATGGTTCTGATTCACATGTATGTTTAAGAATTCCTATAATTCATTCAGTTTGACATCTATTTGGAGATCTCCCATCCTAATCTGAACCTTTGATGAACATCAAAATAATCCCGTGACACATAACAGTACAATTTACTGGAGGAGTGACAACAAACTTCAAAGCCAGTCAACTTTACCGTTTTGCGACCAACAGATTCTTTTGATGTAAAACAAAGAATCAAACAAGTCTTCCTGTCTCAACCACAATGTGGTGCACACTGAGCCTTCTATTTTGCTGCGACGTATTCCAGGGGTGCAGAGAATGAAAGTGAGCGTAACCCCTGGAGTATCGAGGATGGAGATCTCCAACACTATAAAACTTTAAGCCCATTTTGGGATCCCCAAGAAACAGTCAGGATATTAAACCATTAGGGAGTCACTGCATCATACATGCACGTACGATATAGTCAAACATCTGTAGACTGAAACCAGTTGTTTCCTATAGTACCATAACTTAAGATATGTGGAAACTTTATCAAACAAATAACACCCGATACATACTTAGTATTTGGTTCGAAGTCCCAGGTGCTGGAGGTTAGCATGTCTATGACGGAGGATTTGGACGGTGCTGGACCGATGTGTGCAAACAGCTCCACTACCAGGCCTTCAAGCTCGTACACTTTCTTTAGACGGTTTGGGACCCCAAGGGCGGCTCCCCCCAACACCCACTCCAGACAGTACGCCATCTCCTCACAGTCATCACCCTACAAGCCAATGACATCCATGAACACTGTTTAAAACCGAGGTAATTATTGAGATCGATTAATTACCATAGCATACTCAAAAGATTTGGTCGGAAACTGAAGAACTAGTGCAGGGCTAAAAACTAAGGGTAGTCTGATAGTCTGAGACTAGTGATATCTAAATCAGGACGAATAGCACTAAAAACTGCTAGCCCTTTGGAATCCTCAAAATTTAATATTGCTTATCTTGGAATTTGAACATGGACAAGTTAAAAATTGGAAACAAATACCCCAATGGACTAGTGGTATTGAAAATTAATTTCTAGACCTACTAGTGTCAGTCACAAGATTACATATAAACATTATTAGCATGACATGATAACACATGATGAAAATGACTAAATGATGTTTTTCTTGTACATAATAATTGAAGAACTTGTACCAGTGAAAAATATATTCATTTATTTTTAGGGGACTCATACAACTTCTGGAAATACTTAAATTCAATATTGCGGGACCCGTTGTTTTTACAAATACAGTTGAAAAGGACCCATGAATATAAATTGCAGATAGATCACTGTTGTACATTTTTTTTAGTTGAAATACATGTATACTCACAGTGCAGGTACATCCTAGACATATTACAAGTCTCCTTGTCAAAATACAGTTCTCCAATGTGTGGTAAACACTTATCAATGTTTATTTCTCAGTGAAAATTTTGATCCATTTGTTTGGGTTATCATTACCAACTTGGCAAACGTAAGTTTAATTGAATAATGGAAATAGAGAATAATTTCACGATAGATTTGGAATAGACAGTACTACCAAATAACACAATGAACCTGGAAAGTGAATGTGAATATGTTACGACCTACCAGACAATACATGGGAGGGTATTCTGGTTTGTCCCCGTTGGGGTTGACGAAATTCTCAAGTTGAATCCAGATCCCCCTGTAATTATCGTCTGCCTGATCGAATCCAGACACTGGAATCTGGTGGTAATCCGTGCCTAAAACACAACATGAAAAGTCCCTGAAACTTGGTACTTTTTAACCATGGAATCACTTACTGGAACGAAGGGTAACTGTGTCAAACAGAACAGACTGATTGGAATAGCTTTATTTGCCGATTATAAATGGTATTGGATTCCAAAATATTCCCATTTTTGCTTTGAGATGTTGGTTTTAGAGATATGTATTTCTCGTTATCCTTTTTAATCTTGACTAAATCTTTCTAAGTTAATCAAATCAAAATATCTGTATACAAGGGTTTCCAAGGCCATTTCAATATTTGTGGAGACTTGTTATTATGTTGGTTGACTCAATCACCCCTGAAATTTTATAATAAACTATTCCAACCTTTGAATTGGAAGAGTTCAAATGTGTCTTCAGGGGTGAATGAGTAAACATATCTAGGTGTGATATAAACAGACATTCAGGTAAAGGGTACCAATGCATCAGTTACAACTCACTGTACTGAAGAATTATTCTCCGTAAAGATTTATTTTAACTTGGAGTTATCTCCTTTAGATGAAGGAACCTGTTTTAGGGCTTTCTGCGTCCCTTTGGATGAAGGAACCTGTTTTAGGGCTTTCTGCGTCAAGTTATCTTACAACGTTCTTTCTTATTTTCCCAGACTCTACAGCCCATTAATTGAACTGTCATTCTAGTACTGTACATGTACAAGTTCAGGATGGTAGTATTAGTAAATGTATGCTTTGCATTGTAATGGATATATACAGGCCTTATTTATGGCCGAATTAGGGTCATTTCCCCTCTCCAATTTTGGCATTATTTCCCCCTATTTCAGTAAAACTTCCCTCACTTGTAACTAAATACCACCACATGAATATCCGTTTTCATTTACCTAGTGATTTATTTCATTTTCCCTGTGTTTATGTTAATTGACACTGCTGATATTTTACGACACGGTTTGCAGATAGCCTGTTCACGGTTTACAATATCACCGATATTTTATGACACAGTTTACAGATAGCCGGTTCATGGTATACAATATCATAACAGTCACACAAACATTTTATTCTAATGCATATCCGGTGGTAAATTTGAAGCATCTATAATGAACAGTGAGAAACAAAAATTTAGGATGTCATCCATACGTATAATATGCATGTACACTCTCCCTGGCTCCGACTTGTGGCCACCCTTAACTTCCTACTGGCTGGTCATGCACCTACACCGCATATTTCCCCCTATTTCAAAAAAGGGTACTAACTTTCTATTCCTGCATTAATATCTGATTGTTCATGTCCAGAGTTCTCACCCTGCTGTTTTCTTTTTCATTCTATTTTCAAACATTCAAAATTTATACTGTAGTTCTTTAAAATACATGAAAACATTTCCTTTTTATGAAGCACTTTTCTATAAAAGGATTCAAACAAAGAGTTACCATAGTGACAGTGGATTAACATAGTTCAACTCATTCACCCCTTAACTTTCATAATGAACTATTCCATCCTTTGAATTGGAAGAGTTCAAATGTGTCTTCAGGGGTGAATGAGTTAACTTGTTGATACCCTTAATGTTAACAATGCTACACCAATGTACTTACTTTTCTGTTGACACTCATATCGGTATCCAGTTGGAATTCTCCCTAAAAAAAAATCCATAAAAAATATGGTCAGTGTTCATTTTGATTCTGATGAAGTAAAAGTCACTAGGCTGGGTTCCTGATCATCATGTGTGGGGTATCACACCTGAAAATGTAAAAACCTTACGCAATACTTGATAAAATATTTAGAAAATATTCGGTTTAAAACAACTAGGCTTGGCCAAATTGTTCATAAAAGGCAGAAATGTTAAAAGTGATTAAGAAAAATTGATGAAAAGTACCAGGTAGTCATGTCATTTTGTAAATGTCACATTCCATCTACATCATTTTGAATAGTCAAATAAATTATGGAATGTAATCACCTTGTCAACATCGAGGGCTGGTAGAATTGTTTAAAACCTGCCTGTGGGATAACACTTTTAGTATGAAATGTTCTTGCCTGTCTAACCTGTTCATGTGGGAGTATGATCTCCAGGTTATGTACACTGTACCTCAACACAGTTTAATATCCCTGAAATGATTTGGTGACATGATAGCCAAAATAAAAGGATAAGATGTGGAAGTCACTTTAAACCAAGTCACACAAAGAGAACAGCATACAGTTATACAGAGGAAGAAACACTAATTCAAGAGAACTTATCATGAGGCGAAAAGTGACATAAATTGATGAAAACGATAGGAGAACTATTTATATACTGCATTGAGGCAGTTTTTTCCTATCAATCAGGAATATTGTCTAAATCTCACTCAGAATCGAGGGCAAAATAGCTTTTGTCCCTAGTTTTGTTAGGGTCAACAACCTGTTATTGGCTATGAAATGGAGAAAACGTCACTGACCTGGTTCTATAAATTTATGGAACACTCGTTGGATTCCCTTGCGTATATTGTATTCTATGACGGCAACTTCAGCAGGCAAGTATTCGCCGTCCACAGTCTTACACAATGTCTGGAAGTTCACAAAGTAGAAATTCTCTTCGGCAACCGCTGTGGAGCAGAAAGAAGGTGTGAAATTATGATTCACATTCAAAAAATATTTCCCTGGCAATTTAAAAATAAATAAATCATTGTACCTTATTTTAGCTGTTATAAGTTGTAGCTAACAATTAATACTTGGGTTTCCTTTATTTTGAAAAAAGAAGTAAACTATGTTGCAATTATTTATATAACGGTATAAAGGCCTGATTGAGTCAATTAAACAGCTTAAACAATATCTAAAATCAGAACTGATTAAATGCAATTAGTTTAAATTTTATTTTGAAATTTAAAGACTTCTTCTCAATTAAAGAAAATATTGTGACATTCCAAAGATCAGAAATCATCAAATCAATTAAATACTATTCTTTGATGTATCGTTTGTAAATTGGTCCTTAACTTAATAAGTGATCCATTCTTCAAACTATGCAAAACGATCTATTTTTGCATTTTACAATCTGAAATTATTTAGCAAAACACTTTAAAATTAAATTCACAAAAGTGAAACAGTAATGAAAATGAAAAAACACTGAATTGGCAATGTTTCAAACATGACATTTTTCAAAAATATTGTTTGTCATAAAACCTGTAGACTTTAAGACATTTAAAACCTGTTTGCAATTGGAAACCCTGATCTAAGAGTCAAAGAATGGGTAGAACAAGGTTTTTTCTTCATAATTCTGAAATAAAATGCCTAACGAACACTTCCTGATTTTATTCATTCTTGAGATTAAGTCAGCATTTCTTCAAACATGAAAACCATTTAACGAACACTCATATTCAGACCAAGAAACGGTGAGAAGTGTTGAAAATGACATACTTTCAAATCAGTTAATTTTTAACAAACATGTGTGGATCTGTGTTGCATCTTAATATTTACAAATTATAATTAGTATGCATAGGATTGATCCAGAAGATAAAGAGATATAAATGTTTGTATTAAAAGACAAGCTTGTATTGAAATATTACGATTTTAATTGGAAATTAATGATCTCTGTACATTTCCTGAATTGCATGCCTTCTTCAGCATCAATTTGAATGTTTCTTTTTATCAAAATGATTTGTTATTCGTTAAATAATATCAGGGCTAGACATTGATTTCTAAAATCACAAAATCACAAGTCAGCCAGGCTAGCAGTTTCCAATTTTACTAGACCAGTGCGAATTCCACTAACCCAATATCATTTAACATGATAATTTATACCAAATTTGGACTAGTCAATCAGGCTAGCAGTTTCCAACTTTACTAGACCAGTGCGAATTCCACCAACCCAATATCATTTAACATGATAATTTATACCAAATTTGGACTAGTCAATCAGGCTAGCAGTTTCCAACTTTACTAGACCAGTGCGAATTCCACCAACCCAATATCATTTAACATGATAATTTATACCAAATTTGGACTAGTCAATCAGGCTAGCAGTTTCCAACTTTACTAGACCAGTGCGAATTCCACCAACCCAATATCATTTAACATGATAATTTATACCAAATTTGGACTAGTCAATCAGGCTAGCAGTTTCCAACTTTACTAGACCAGTGCGAATTCCACTAACCCAATATCATTTAACATGATAATATATACCAAATTTGGACTAGTCAATCAGGCTAGCAGTTTTATAGAACCACTAGTCCAGCTGGAGATTTCTCTAGTCTCAGTCTAGCAGCCTACCCTTATTGTCTGGCCCTGAATAAACATTGAATTATTATCTTTAAACAGACTGGAATTTTTTTTGTTGTTTTTGTTTTTTATCATATCTCCTTAATAATAATAAATAATAATAATAATTTGAGGTTCTGATATACCACTTTATCACAACCTAGTTCCTAGGTTGTCTCAAAGCGATTCACATATTATTATCCATGGTTATAGGGCCTTTGCAACCAGCAAATATCTGTCTCAACTCCCTGGGGAGCATACAGCCGGTGCTGCCATTTCGGCGCTCAAAGCTAGCATTCAACAATTCCAACACTGCCCCACCACGTACTCATTTACAGCTGAGTAGACTGAAACAAACAGAGTAAAGTATCTTGCTCAAAGATACAACACAGTGTCGCGACTCGAACCCACAACCCTTCGTCACGGCGTCCTAACACTAGACTACTGCGCTTCCAAGATCGAGATACACTGCAACGACAAACAATAGTGCCACCAGAATTAGTCCTCGTTCACCTTTGCCAGCAGGAAATGTTTCTCTCACAGTCTTTATCTCTCTAGCTCTCTTCTTCTCTCTCTCTGCTCTCGGATCAACTCTGTGCTGTAAAAAATCAGACACACTCAAAATTTATACAAACATATTTGAATACATTGTAGTCATATATGTTCATAAATTAATCATATTATGAAAGTTAATATTTATACATATGTCAAAATTTTAATGGTGAAATACAGGGTATGACAGGTGACTGTGACATCAAAATTAAATGTCTTAGCATAATGTTATTTTAGACAGTCAAGTACCAAGCACCCTGCTCTTTCCCTCAATGTATTCAAATCTAATATAGATAATATTATAGCTGTACATGCAAAACCAACTATATGATGGATTTTAGAAATAACCACTCGCCCAATGCAGGTTCTGTATATAACATTTTATCACTAATAAAGCACCATAATATTTAATGAACTATACAGGCAGCGCCATCATCGTCTTATATTTATACTCAATCTGTTTAACCCTTTCACCCCTATGTAACTTTAGTAGACTCTACCATGCATTGATATGGATGAGTCCATTATGGTCTACAGTGGTGAAAGGGTTAAGTGGTTTTTGAAGTATAACCACGGTAGATGTGCTGTAGCCTACTCTTGCAATTGGTACAATTTCTGAAGTAGTTTTATTAAGTAGTCATCTTAATATTTACCAGCGAATGACATTGCCACAATATAACCCTACCAAATTCAGTTGGCATTCATATAAGCTATGAATGCCATGGACTGATTGTTAATGTCATCATTATTATTACTTCATAATTGTTTTGTTGGACAATACTGGCCATCCCCTATTTAATTAACAAGAGGCCCAGAGGGCCTGTATCGCTTACCTGTTTCTTTTGTTACATGCAACTGACATATAGGTAACTTAAGACCATTTCGTAGCTAGAACACAAGACATTTTAACAACTCTTAAACGGTTCTGACTGTTCTGAAGATATTGTTGTTTTAAACTTAATTTTTTTAACCAAAGTTGACATTTGAATCCCGATTTGCGCTTAAAGTTGACCTTTGACCTCATTTCTGTAATGAAGAAAACAATTCACACAGCTGGTCTACATAACAAACCTAAGTATCATGACTAGTCCAAATGGTTCTTAGGATATTGTTGTTTGAAGTTTTTAACATATTTGACCCCTGTGACCTTGAAAGAAGGTCAAGGTAATTTTAATGAGGAAACTTTATAGCATTCCATCCCAAGAACCTACTGGCTAAATATCATGACCCTGGGCCTAATGGAACTTGAGAAGGAGATTGTTAAAGCTTTTAACCAAAGTTGACATTTGACCCCCCGACTAGCATTTATAGTTGATCTTTGACCTCATAACTGTAACTGAGAAAAATATTCGAACTACTGGTCTACATAACATACCCAAGTATCATGACACTAGTTCAAATGGTTCTTCGGATATGGTTGTTTGAAATATTTAACATATTTAAACTCTGTGACCTTGAAAGTAGGTCAAGGTCATTTTAATGAGGAAATTTTATAGCACTCCATCCAAGGTACCTACTGACCAAATATCATGACCCTAGGTCCAACAGTTCTTCTTCAGAAGTTGTTCAAAAGAAAAAGTTGACGGACAGACGACGGACGCCGCAGTACAGCATAAGCTCACATGGCCCTTCGGGCCAGGTGAGCTAACAAGCATACACGATACATATATTGCCTATGAATGCCAACTAAAAGCAGTTCAGTGCTTAAATGAAGTTTGTTAACTGTTCAGTCAAGACCTGGTTTATTCTTTGTGTTTATAAATTGGAAAATTGACTTTGTTCAATATTTAAGGATTTTCTAGGTAATTACAAATATGACAATTCTGAAAAATTATTTGATAAATCAGTTTGGTGCATGATCTTAAAGCTATCATTCACCATTTTTCTGATTTCCTATCTTGGGTTTGGTCATCAGAATTGCAAAAATACATTCCGTGCCTAAAATTAGAAATATTGCTCATGTTTTTTTCTTCTCTTTTTTTCAAGGCTGATTTGTGGTAGATAAGTTTACATACAGCAATGATATTGCCCGTATTGTCCATCCGCACATTGTTGCCCTCAACACCCCTTCTCTGCCCTTTGTATTCCTTTGCCATACGCTCAAACCTCTGTTTCTCCTTATCAGGTAGCGCCTGAAAAATATAAAGGTTATAAATTTTATAAAGAAATCAATTACTTCAGGGGTCAAATTAGTTGCGATAACATAGCTTCAGACAACGAGGCATTTTTTTTTATATATTGCGTCGGGACAGAGGACGGGCAGGCCTATTAATATAAGTACTTGGGTCGAACAGGATCTTCGGTGGGCTCTGATAGATTGATATTATATAATAACTTGATATTTGGAATGTTTTCTACATTTTTGTAAGAGGTTCGTTGGTATTTGCGACACTTGTGAGAGCCAATTTGATTCCGTTTTGTCAATATTTCCTGGGCCGTATCAGTGGCGGATCCAGAGACCTATCCGGGGGGGGTTTCCAAGTGAGGAAAAATTGAGGAAAATGGTGAAAATCCATGATTTTTAAAGACAATTCTCAGGGGGGTTTCATGAAGCCCAAAAACCTCTCTGGATCCAGCACTGCGTATGGTGGGCACCAATGTTAACGAGGTTATAGTAATTATTTTTTTAAATGCATTGAACCCACACTGACAGGGGCTGGACACTGACCCACGACACTATAAAATAAAATGATTACCAGTTGATCCATCGTCTGCTGGATATAAACCGAACTACTTGGCAGTGCAGCCGACGTAAAACCACTCAAACAATTTTTGAACCCCTCCCACATAAGTCCGTGTCTAGTCAATGTGCTCGAAACCCATTAGAAACCCCTCCGCCACCATTAATATATGGCAATATTGACTTGTATGATTGCTTGGCTCGTTGGTAGTGCGCGCTACCTTACAGAAAGAGTAACTCCCGTGCGCGCTACCTTACAGAAAGAGTAACTCCCCTTGGTCGGAACCCTCCCCCTCTTCACTTGTCCGATGTTCGACACAAATGAGCTAGAGAAAGTCACAGGTGCTCGGGTTCTGGAATATATGTGATATATTATCGCACCCACTTATACTAATATGATTTATTACTATTAGGGGGTGCGATAATATATCACATATATTCCAGAACCCGAGCACCTGTGGGGAAAGTCTCTCTAATAGACCGTGTAGGAAGCAAATTACAGATGTTTCTCTCGTGGTAAATCTAGATGAAATCATAGCCTTTACAGTGGGTTCCATCATTTAGGACATACCTTCCATCTTGGATGCGCGATTGGAACTACATCCTGCATGCCATTCAAAATACGGCCTTCACGCCTTAATGCAGGCTCAATTTCACACATAAAGAAATAAAACGCATTTCTGACAGGTTTCTTAGGCATTTTGATGTGTTATGTGTAACTGTCTATATTGGAATTCTTTACAAAACGGCATCCAACTGTTTCCCGTACCCTCGTGTTTCCACGACTTGTCAAATATTGACGACTCGCGGGAAACCCCTAAATTTCCAAACATATATCTTTCGGAACATTTACAAGATATGAAACGAAACGAAATATCCCAAAGTAGCGGAACGAGATAATAAAACGAATACAATTTTTTATAATACATGTATACCAAACAAGAAAGAAACATGTCCATTTCATCGTTTTATTTTCTATCCAATTAGAAATAAAATCAAATAGTAACGTCAGTGTACATTTTAATGCACCCAAAACGGGACACTTGTAAGAAAACAGGCCAGGTATCGTTATATACGAATTACTTTTAGATATGCATGTGATTGGTTATATTGTTATATTGATAGTTTAGGGTACAGAATTATTTCGAAAACATTACTTTCTTACTTTTTGTGCTGTACGACGCAATTTGTACATATTTTTTATACAAATGTTTTCCCCAAAACTAATGCTAGTATGTAGAAGCAATTTAATCAAAATTTAAAAGAAGTGTATATGTATGTATGCACCTCTTTTTCAGATAGTAGAGAGTTCCCTATATAGTACAGATACAGATCCACTGTCAGTGTAAACCCCGCGACCATAGTTGGGGTAGGTATTACGTATAAAACGTTTAATACGTACGTTGATTGTGTATAAAGTGAAACCTTGATATTACATATCTCCAAACTAATGAATCGTATTGAATCTATATAAGTACTATCTAGTGCGATGAAATTACAGTCTTTGTAAGTTTAAAATATTATTCCTATTGTGAATATAACTTATTGTGTGTGAATGTATTAAATACGTACGCACCGAATGTAAATCATGTTAAGACATACGTAAGCGCTGTGTTTCATTATATGATATACTGTATTGTATCTTTGTAGGGCTTTACTTTTGTTCTACATACGACATATATATCCCACTGTAGAAAATAAATGCAACATTCAGGAAACAGTCTGAATCGCTCTTTGTCAAAATACACTTTGAGTAAAAAAAGAAGAACTGTGTCTAATTTTCTGCTTACATAGACATCAGCCACTATAAGCCAATCCTCGGTATCCAGGGGTTACGCTCACTTACGCTCTCTGCACCCCTGGAATGTCATAGCAAAATTGAAGGCACGAAGATAGCTGTTTGATTGGTGTCAGGTAAAAAAGATACCTGACCAATCGCTAGGCTATGGTGGCTTATATATGACCATTGAAGATTACAAAGGAGCGACACACGACTTTAAAGCCATTCAATGTTTACCGTTACGTGACCGCGATATGCTGTTGATGTACATCAAAGGATCGAACTAGTCTCCGTGTCTCATCCACAAGGTGGCGCACACTGAGCCTTCTGATATCATCAATTACATTTCTGCTACGATTAAATTATTTCCTGATGACACGTCGTTATATTTAATTGTTGATGTACCTAATACCACTGCTGATATTTTAAATACAAATCTTGATATAATCCTTAAGTGGTGCGAAAAATGGCTCGATACATTTAACCCTTTAAAAACCGAAACTATGACATTCAGTTAAAAAAGACACAAACCAACTCACCCTCCCGTACTAATGAATGATATTATCTTAAAGGAAGTTGACATTAACAAACACTTAGGTTGTTATTTCTCTGAGGACGGGAACTGGGCTGAGCATATAAACATGTAGTTAGCAAAGTATCAGGAAAGCTAAATATACTGCGTAAATCAAATTTTGAAGAAATTGAAAAATTATCACTCCAAAAATGTACATTTCTTTCATAAGGCAAAATTTGTAATATAGGGATATATTTTAGAACAATATACCAATTGCTCAGTCTCAAATGCTAGAAAGTTTACAACTAGAATACGCACGTATGGCTACCGGTGGGACCAAACTTACAAGTTTAATTTATACAAAGAAACTGCGGACTGGAAACCCCTCAAAATTAGACGTGACAACCATAAAATTATACAGATACATAAAATGATACTTCGAACAACCCAACATATCTTAGTGACATTTTACCTCAAACTCCAACATTCACGATTACAGAACAAAAAATCCAAACAATATTCGACCTACACAGATGTATATACATGTATGTACACTGTAAAACAACTGCACATCAAAAGCCGTTTCTCCCTGCTTGCACTGAATTATGGAATAAATTGCCAGAAACATGAAAAAGTGATCTGCCAACAGAAATATTGTTGCTATTCATTCCCCTTACAATAACGGTTCCCGAATTGGTGAAATCGACCATACCAGGCTATGCATGTAATTTAGTTCTTTAAACAATTGTCTCTTCCAGAAACATATTGTCGATAGCCCTATCGGTTCATGCTTGCTGCAAAACAAACACACATTTCCTTAAACATTGTCACAAGTATGAAACTCCCAGACGCTTTAGCTAAAGCAGGCAGTTAAAGTGTATTGATTGGAGCTCGAGTTTATGAACATGTTTAGCAATTCCGCTTGATGTATTGGCTCTGTATATAAGCATACCAGAGGTAGAACAATATCATTTCCGTTTCATTTGTGGAACCTGAATGGATACAAAATGCAGATTGCTATTTCATCCATGTTATTGGCTTTGATTACAGGTAAGTTTAACTCTGTCAACAGCATTGGGGATGGAGACGTCTCATGACTTACCAGTCACTAAAAACAATTGTAACTTAGGAAAATTACGAATCAAGACATAGCAGAATGTTATAATATCTATGTATGCTAATAAAAGACATGAGTGAGACTGGATTATTACCAAATCAATTCACTTTACTGTCACTGAAACCTGTTTTTATTAAGGGGTCTTTCATCTTTTCTTCGTTCCCCAGCCTTTAGGATGTGCTATCTTTAATCATAAGTATTATAAGTTAAATTAATGCTGTGTGATTATTATTATTTACATTTTTCACAATGTTATGTTTTCAAACTTTTGTCTAGATAATGGGATTAATTTCCATGAAAATTTGAAAAACATAGTCGGTGTTGTCGTTACTAATCTTTGATATTGAATTATTCTATTACATCAGACGACTCATCCCAAATCCATGTTTTCCTCAGTTAATATTTTGTTCCTTTAGTACGGCCTATGTGATCCTATTTGACTTTTAGTTATAGATGTGTCATATTTTGTTTAAACAAATCGACCTCTGCATGACCGTTTAACCTTATAACTTCTAATAATTCGTTTTATCAAATACAATAAAATTTCTTTCAAATAAATTCATACTTCACGTAAGAACATGTATGTTGTTCTACCACTAAATTTAAAGGATTTACTTGATTGAGTAAGAGTGTGAATGTTCTTACGAATTCTATTTTATTATCATTATCAATTTAAAATTAACCGGTATTCCTCTAAAATTTGTATTAAATGGACACTTCTGGGTTGCCTGCCTTTAATCTGTAGTGATGATATTTAAGTAGGGGACACTTGTGTAGGTTTCATCCACAAAAAAAGGCATTAACAACATTGATATAATTAAGGGTATTAATGTTTATATTAATAATTATGGGCGTTCTGTTTAAGAGTAGTTTAGACCAGTTTGCATTTCCAACTTTCGGCTCCCTGTATTACCGCATCCTCGATATCCAAGGGTCACGCTCACTTTTAGAGGGCGTACATGAGCATAACCCCTGGATATCGAGGATGGTATTACCGATGAGCCACAGAAGCAGGAAAAGGAGGAGCTGATGCTGTGAACACACATTTCTGGAATGATTCTATTATAAAATTGTAACGGTGCAGTCCTAAGTGTGTGTCTATTTACCAACCACACCTACACATTTACGGATCATCGTGTCACTGTCAAAAATGTAACTATGGCTTAGAAACATTTTTCTCGACATTTCTATATCTTTAATAAATCATTACTGATATTAAAATCCTACCTTCCGGAGCTTTTGCTGAAATAGAATAATGATTAAATTTGTACTGTTCAAGCCATATATTCCATTTCCTGAATAAAATACAATTTAAACCAAGTATGTAAGGGGACTGGGCAGGCTTTAGATATAAAAGACAGTTGTAGTGTTGTGTATTGGTTGGAGTTTATGAACGTGTTAAGATGTTCCCCTTGTTAACAAACAATAATAATGAAAATAATAATCAAGTAATGTTACGATGAATTTATTTCCTAAGCTCAATTCATGTACTTTTTGAGATTTGGCGATAACAGGAATTGATTAGGTACGGGCGAACGGGTGGACAGACGACAGACCCACGAACGAAGGGTGATTTTATCAGTCCAACCTCCGATAATGGCGGGCTTATAAATTATCAACTGTTCCAGTGACTGGTGTTCCGCAAAAATAAAATCAATAACCAACAAACATCCACTCTGTAGTCAGGGTGTTGTGTTACGATACTGCACTCAATTATTCATAATCAGCATCTTATATTTATAATTTGTAAACCGGTTATTTCTTAGGATATATATCCTGTTCAATTTGGTCAGCTTCTCATGCCAGGCCATAGGTCAGTATCCCAGGCCATAAAACACAATCCCAGGCCATAGGACACAATTATTTATAATCAGCATCTTATATTTTCCTGGAGTCAGTGTTCTTCTCTTTTGGAATTTCCAAGTCAAGTGTGTCCAAAACTTTCCACTCCATAGTACAGGCATTAGACACATCGATAGTCCCACAATTTCTAGGTCCGGATCACTTGACAAGAGAACAGTTGCTCGGGCACAATACTGTCTTTTCAGAAGCATTTTTTGGAGATAAAGCCACTGCCATATTAGATGGCACCTATATTTATATCCAGAAAAGCTCCGACCACAAGCTCCAGAGAATGTCCTACTGTGGCCAGAAGAAGAGAAACTATCTCAAATTCATGAGCATCGCCTTACCAGATGGCTACATTCTGGACACAGTAGGACCATTCACTGGCAGCGAAAATGATGCTACAATTACAAAAAAAGTCATGGACAAGCTAGTTACTTGGCTACAACCAGACGACAACGTTGTCGTTGACCGAGGTTTTAGAGATGTCCTACCAGTTCTCGAAGCCTCTGGCCTCAATGCTAGCATGCCGTCATACCTGAAACCCGGTCAAAGTCAAC